CCCCCCCCCCCCCCAAGCGGTAGAAAATGAATGAATGAAATTAAAACCCCGGGGGGGGATAATAACTCTGATTCCATTAATTACTTAAAGGTGCCCATGGTCTTAGGTGAAAAACAATATTCAAGATGTCCCATGTTGAAAACTAAATATGAGGATGTCTAACTGTCAGGAGAGGGGCCAACCTCTTTTCAGTCGGGACTCATGCTGTTTAGAGGTAAACCGATGAGTTCACGAAGAGCTACGCAGCAAAGACATCGCATTTCTGCAAATCTTAAAATTAAATTTAAAAATTAAAAACCACCTGACTGGCTGATTGTGTTGCCCCATGGTTAATGAGGCTGGCCTGAGACTCTCTGCTCGCCTGTGTGTGTGTGTGTGTGTGTGTGTGAGAGAGAGAGCGAGTGCTACAGACACATGGAAAAGCAAAGTGCAACCACCACATCAGACTTTCAAATTCTCATTGAGGGAAAGTGCAGCACAGCATCTAGAAACTGAAGTGCCAGATACAGCGAGGGGGGGTTTACCAGTCATTAATCTATGGTTCACAGGCGGCCAGTGTGTGGGGGGTGTCTGTTACACCATTAGCAATGAGGATGGTGAAGCGTTTACCAGAGGAACTAACTTCCATGTTAATAACATGTTATGTCTGGTGCATTGCTGTTCTGCCTTCTTAAACGCTCTGCACATTATAGACAATAAAATACATCTGGGGGTTAAATCCAGCCCCCTGGCCAAGATAGGCAGCAACACAGTTACAACCAAAAACTACTTACAAACATTAAACATAACAATTAATCAAAAACATTAAACATAATAAAATATATAAAACACAACAGGCATAAAAATAGTAGAAAAAACTAGAAAGTTTCCTATTTAAAAATATAAGAAGAGATAGTCCAACAAACTAAAAAACTAAAATGTGCAAGTTTAAACAAACTGAACATGTTCACCTTCATGAGGGAGGATTTATATGGGAGCAGATCCTCGCCATAATGTCTGAGGCTGCTCTAACCACGTTTGCAGTGAGGGAGGACAGAACTGGGAACCTAATTTGAGCGTGCAGCGAGGATCCTCCTTCGCTCTTAAATCTGTTTCTGCTTGTACAAATCTATTCCTACACTCAGAGTCTCATTTGTAAAGTGAAGAGTGCTCACAACTGGTTTTGTGTGCCTCAAAAACTTTGGTTTCACACAGAAATCTGAGAGTACTGAATCAGAAA